GATCTGTGATTATTCTTTGATGCTTTAGTTTTAATTTGGTCTTCAGGTAAATACATTTTACCAGCTTCCTCAAAGCAACATGTTGTTGATTGTTCAGTTGCAATATGGAGGGTTAGCTCTGCTTCAACTTCAAGTAAGACTGTGATCATAAAGAGGGACACTGTTTCCTAGAGCAAGTAATATTTAATGGACCAATCTAGTTACAAAGAACTGAGGATGTAGTGGTTGTGGTATTGTTCAAAGAGGGCTGACATTGACTGTGAGGGAAGACTGATAACTTTGATGTAGTACTGATGAAAAGGAGCTGCAATTGATAAGTCTGAGCTGTTACCAATCACTGTGATGTGCTTCTGATCATGGGGAGTTGATTCAGATGACTTGAATGGGAAGAGTTACTGATGGCTAGGAGGTGGCAAAAATGACTTGGATTAGTAATCAAATGACTAGAAGGAGAAAGCAATGGTTGCAAAGTGATTCTGATGAGGTAGAGGTGATACCAATGACTAGGAAGAGGTACCAATGACCAGGAGGTGGAAATTATGAATAGTAGGAGGTACCAATGACTAGAAGGATGTACCAATGATGAGGAAGTGATTTAAATGATGGGGAGATGAAACCGATGGATGAAAAGTGTTACTGATAACTGGAAGGTAGTACGGATGACTGGGAGAGTGTGCCAATGACTAGGAGGATTTAGAGATGACTGGTAGGAGATGTTGCCGTTCGCTTTCTTTTAAATTCAGTGCGGTGATATAAGATACTCCGCCTTGAGCTAGATGCTTCTTGGGCTTGTTTGAAGTCCCTGCTCTCAATCTGTTTTGCATAATTAGCATCAAAGAGGAGTGGCTAAACAAGCAACATGTTCAGGATTCTCGTTACACTTAATGATTTGTTGCAGTCATCTATCAAGCAAGCTAGGTTAACATGATTTTAGATCTATTTGCAATTGCGATCAAGGAAATGATCATCTCTTTGCTCTAGCCAGGAAACTCAAACAATCTGGAGTAGTTTTCTTTCTCTTCTTTTCCTTTGCAAGTTAAGGCAACCAAGATTTGATACTTAACTTTGAACGAACGACTTCAAGTTGCTCGTTGGGCACTACTTGTCCCTTATCTTGATTTGTTTTCTATATTCGGTATGTAATAAATGCTGTTTGTCTTTGTTGCTGGAGTATTGCAAGCAATGGCAATCTTTGGTGGCTCCTACATTGAACGGTTTGAGCCGCTCGCTTTAGTTCTGATTCAAGGTTTTCAAGCTGCACTTCAAGTTGGCTCAGCTGTTGTCTAATCAATTTAATCTCTTTTTCCATTGACATATTATGCAAAAGGAGTGTTATGAGATGATAGCGATGAAGGATTCAATGGGATGAGATTGTCCTATCAAAAGAAATTGGGAGAGTTCTTTCTCAGTTAAAATGAAACCGACCGACTTGTGAATTACTCTTCATGTGTGTTTAAAGAATGGAATGAGTCTCAGAGGATCTTACAATTCAATTGATCAAATGAAATCCTGTCCAGGCACTTATTTCATTACAATAGACCTTGGTAGGAATTGAAAGAGACCATAGAAAGTGCTCTAGGGTGGTTGCAGTGCTGATGGGGCAAGGATCAAGATATAGGAGTAGAATAAGCTTGAATACAATCTAGATGGCAAAACCAAAAGACAA